GAATGCAAGAGTTTTCGTTCTTCTGCCTGCTATTTTTTGAAATTCTCCGTTTGTCTACGTGTCACAGGTTGTGTTCCCACGCAAAGAGGGGTCCATATATTGGACCATAACAGACCTGAAAACTGTCCAAATCACGCAATCTTGGTGGCATCTGAAGGAACCCATCGTTCTCTATCCATAAATGGAAGTTTTATTTGCATATTTTCTTTGGGTAGAAAAATAACGCTGGAGCTTTGCAAGAGTTCTTGTTCTTCTGCATGCTATTTTTTGAAATTCTCCGTTTGCCTACACGTTACGGGTTGTGTTCCCGCGCAAAGAGGGGTCCATATATTGGACCATAACAGACCTGAAAACTGTCTAAATGCAGCAATCCTTGTGGCATCTTGAAGAGCACATCGTTCTCTCTCCATTGATGTAAGTTTCATTTCCATATTTGCTTTTTGTAGCGAAATTACGCTGGAAGAATGCAAGAGTTCTTGTTCTATTACTTGGAATTTTTTTAAATTCTCCGTTTGCCTACACGTTACAGGTCGCGTTCCCGCGCAAACAGGTTCCATATATTGAAGCATAAAAGAACTGGCGATTGTCCAAATCCGGCAATCTTGGTGGCATCTGAAAGAGCACATCGTTCTCTATCCATTAATGTAAGTTTCATTTCCATATTGGCTTTGGGTAGAAAAATAATGCTGGAAGAATGCAAGAGTTCTTGTTCTTTTGATTGCTGTTTTTTGAAATTCTCCGTTTGCCTACAAGTTACAGGTTGTGTTCCCGCACAAAGATGGGTCCATATATTGGACCATAACAGACCTGAAAACTGTCAAAATCCAGCAATCCTGGTAGCAGCCTGAAGAACACATCTTTCCCTATCCATTGATGTAAGTTTCATTTCCATATTTTCTTTTGGTAGCAAAATTACGCTGGAAGAATGCAAGAGTTCTTGTTCTATTACTTGCTATTTTTTTAAATTCTCCGTTTGCCTACACTTTACAGGTTGTGTTCCCGCACAAAGATGGGTCCATATATTGGACCATAACAGACCTGAAAACTGTCTAAATCCAGCAATCGTGGTGGCAACTTGAAGAGCACATCTTTCTCTATCCATTGATGTAAGTTTCATTTCCATATTTGCTTTGGGTAGAAAAATACCGCTGGAAGAATGCAAGAGTTCTTGTTCTTCTGCTTGCTATTTTTTGAAATTCTCCGTTTGTCTACGTTTCACAGGTTGTGTTCCCGCGCAAAGAGGGGTCCATATATTGGACCCTAACAGACCTGAAAACTGTCCAAATCCACCAATCGTGGTGGCATCTGAAAGAACACATCTTTCTCTATCCATTAATGGAAGTTTCATTTGCATATTTCCTTTGGATAGAAAAATAACGCTGGAGCTTTGCAATAGTTCTTGTTCATCTGCTTGCTATTTTTTTAAATTCTCCTATTGCCTACACGTTACGGGTTGTGTTCCCGCTCAAAGAGGGGTCCATATATTGGACCATAACAGACCTGAAAACTGTCT